CTGGGGCTTCTCCGAGCTGGAAGAGTTTCACTCAGGGCAGGCGCCCCCCTGCATCCGGCTCCTCCGACACGGACGGTTGCCTTGTACGGCCCAGCCCTGCGCCCCTCGTGGCTTCACGTCCACAGAGATCTCAATAGACATCTCACCTGGGGTTTGCAATGGCTTTGTCTCTTGGGCCTTCACTCCCCCTCTTCTCTCCCTCCATCTCCCCTGCGCTGGCTCCTTGCTCGGGCTCACACAGGGGACGTCCCATGCAAGTTGGACACTGCTTTTCCTGGGCCTGGTCTTGGGCCTTGGCCGTCTTCACCACGAGGCTGCTCAAGCTGGGCCATGCTCTTATTCACCCACAAGCCTCCTCCCCCCCTTGGGGCAGCCGCGTGGCACTGATGGTGGCACAGGAACTCCACCTACCTTCGTGTCGGTGTTTTCCACCTCCAGATGTTGACCACACAAACTGGGGCTGGAGGTAAAATAGGACTAAAAGTAAAAGCATTTGCAACGTTTATTGTCTCCAAACCAGTTTCTAGGCAGTTCCTAGCCCAACAGGAGAGTTTTATGCTGGAAATCTTTTGGGCTACAGCAGGCTCGCCTAGAAGTGCTCTGTGTTTCCAATTATTAGGTAGTAGATTGACAAGCTTCCCATGTTGTTTCCATTGTATTTGTCCTTGCTACCTCCCCACAAAGGATGAACAACCACTTTCCACGGGAATTGAAGAGTTTCACCCAGGGACTCTCCACAGAGCAACAGACCGTCAGAGCCATTTACAGAAAGGAAACATCCAGCTCTTGCTCTAGTCCAGGTGCAGCAACCCCTGCCACGTGTGCTGAGCATGGCGCTCTTTTGCCTCGCCACCCCCCCGCCGGCCGGGGCTGTAGGCACCTGGTGCCAGCCACGAAGCCCAGGCCGCTCCCAGCAGGCGGCTGGGCAGCTGACAGCCCTGCAGCAAGCACACTGGGCTCTGTGGCCGGCAGCAGCTACCCAGAGCCTGGGCCGGCTGCCGCCAGGAGGCTGCAAACATTTGCTCTGGGCTCTGGCATCTGCTCCATACCAGCAGGTGCACGCGCAGTTTGGAGTGGATGGTGGGGGAGGGCCCTGAGGCAGCGCAACCCCGGCCTCTTCCCCACTGCTGGTACAGAGCTGATGACTGGGCTCCTACCTGGGGAAGGGTAATTCCTGCTCAGAGCTGTTACCATTGTCCAAAACAAACTCACTGCATTGGGCTGCTTGTGCTTACTAAGCAGAGCAGCCAGCATACTGTCCAAGTGACATAACCCACTCAGAGCTCTTTGCCGTTTCATATTTTTTATTCATTCAGTCTGTCTTTGAAATGTTTTGGTTTTCTTCTGATTTGCAGTGAAAAGAATCAGTTCCTTGGACCTAGAGGAACAACAGCCCTTCAGTGCTTAGAAGGTGGCACCTGGCAGAAATGGAGGTGTCCAGGGGAGTTAGGCACGGAGGGTACGAGGTGGGAGTTGACCGATGGCTTTGAAAATGCCTGAATTTTGTACTGACCTGCTTGAAAAGCCCACTAGGATCCAGGTCCATAACATGAGGTGTTTAACACCCACATTCAGATGAAAGTGAATTAGGTGCCCTCGTGACTCTGATTGTATGGGCCTTGTCAAGTAGAAGTGTCCTCAATACGTTACAGATGTATAATAGCGCATAGGTGTGCCAAAGAGCTCTTGTTTCACTGCCACTAGCAAAGTAGTGTCCACTTTCTTCAGCTGCAGAAAGGGAAGAAGACAGATGGAGAAGAGGAGAAACAGCTGCAAAGCAGCCCCAGACACAGGCGTGGGTGAACTGGGCAGCCGCCTGGGGCCCAGACAGAAGCAGGGGCTGAAAATGGAAAAAAGAAAGGAATAAAATTGCAAAAAAGTTTACATAATTGAGCATGTACCATACTGGCAATGTTACCAATTCAGAATAAATTATTTAAAGACATTGATACTGTGGCAGAAATGCCACCGTCTGTGGCCCTCTCCAGAGATCTGTCTCAGCCGGCCTGAGAGGCTGGTGTTGATCCCTCAGGGCGGGGATCTCCCACCTTGTCTGCAGACAAAAGCCTGGCGCCTGGGAGGCGATGCTCTGGTCACCTGGGCAGGGCGGGGCAGGGCCTGGCCCTGCGCGCGGGCCCAGGTAGCCAGGGATGCCATGCAGATTGGTCGGTTTGTAGCCAGTATTGGCAGCTTCGGTTGGACCGGCTGCTGAGGTCAGAGAGGTTATTTAAGGGCCCGGGCCAGGAAGAAGGGCAGCCATTATCCATGCGGTCATCCAGGTGAATCTGACCCTGGCTCTCTCCTCATCACCGCATGCTCCAAGAGTGCCCTGCCTCCAGAGGAAACAACAAGCACCTCTGGATGATGCGAGTGAGTAAGCTACTCGAGATCCGACTAGATATTTAGCTTCAGTAACTCAGATGCGTGTTCAAACGGCTACCTCAGCCACCCTGGTTTGCACTATGGGATTCCTCTGATATTCATCTGATATCCCTGTGATATTTCTATGATACTGCTCTACCTTTTACCCTGTTTTCACCCTACCCCCTGTAATCAATAAAGTTCTCCTTGTGACCGGTGTGGGAGACTTATTGCGAGGTGGGTCTAAATTATGCCAAAGAGGCCCCTTAAGTCTATGGACTAAGCGAGGCTTCCTAATAAGCCCCTGACTTGGGGAAGTGCCCCAAGTGCTTATACTGGGTCTAGCACCCATTGGACGATCAGGCCTGTGTTTTCCAAGGTGCGCAGAGCCAGAAGTGAGTCCAGAGCCTTGGATGGTGGCAGCGGGA